GAAGTGGACCCAGAAAATAGGCTGAGGTAGCTCTCCTAATATCTAATAAACTAGACTTTCACCCTAAATTAATTTAAAAAGATGAAAAGGAACGCTTCATTCTCATCAAAGGAAAATTTTACCATGAGGACACCACAGTCCAGAACATATATGCCCCAAATACAAGAGCAACTGCATTTGTAAATGAAACATTATTAAAGCTGAAATCACACATCGAAACAACCCACATATCCATCAATGGAGGAATGGATACAGAATTTGTGGTACAGTTACACAATGGAATACTACTCAGCAATTAAAACAAGGCAATCTTGAAATTTGCACACAAATGGTGGGAACTAGAAAAGATCATCCTGAGTGAGGTATCCCAGCAGCAGAAAGATACACATGCTATATACTCACTTATAAGTGGATATAATCTAGGATAATATAGGATAAACATTATAAAATCTGTACACCTAAAGAAGCTAAAAGAGGACCCTGGGTAAGATGAGCAATACTCTCACAAAAAGGCAAACAGGACGGACATAGGAAGAGGGAGAAAACAGGGAACAGGACAGAAGCCTACCACAGAGGCCCTCTAAACGACTCTACCTAGCAGGGTATCAAATGCTGAGACTCATAGCCAAACTTTGGGCATAATGCAGGAAATCTTACAAAAGAAGGGGGATATAGAATGATGTGGAGAGGACAGGAGCTCCACAAGGTGAGCACCAGAACCAAAAAATCTGGGCAAACAAGTCATTTTTGAGACTGATACTCCCACCAAGGTCCATGCATGGAGATAACCTAGAACCCCTCCACAGATGTAGCCCGGGATCTCAGTCTCCAAGTGGGTTTCCTAGTAATGGGAACAGGGACTGACTCTGACATGAACTCAGTGGCTGGATCTTTGATCATCCCCACCTGAGGGGGAGCTGCCTAACTAGGCCACAGAAGAAAAGAGTGCAAATAGTTCTGATGGGACCTGAGAGACTAGGGTCAGAGGAAAGGGGAGGAGGACCTACCCTATCAGTGGACTTGTGGAGGGGCAAGGGAGATGATAAGGAAGGGATGCTGGGATTGGGAGGGGATGAGGGAAGAGGCTACAGCTGGGAGACTAAGTGAATAAACTGTAATTAATAATAAAAATAAATTTTGAAAAGAAGCAATAGGAATGGTAATGAAGGGGTTTTAATAAAGCAATACATTTTGTGCATGTATAAATTTTAGAATTAATTCATTGTGTATAAATCATGTCTTTATAAAGTGTTTAAATATGAATGATACCATCTAAGAAGGGTTTTTTTACACCATTCTCTTTGAATGAAAGAACTGTATCCAATGACTTAATGAGATCATATATTATCTGTTGGTATAATGTTCTTTTAAAATGTATATGCCTTACCCTTGTTAATTCAAATGCTGATTTCCCCACCCCCAACTCTCTGGTTTCAATCTGGATATTGCATTGTGATACTCACTCTTGTGTAAACAGGACACAAATAAAGCAACTAGATACAATGTTGTGCAATGGGAGGAGCCAGAAAACAGGAAAGAGGGGAGGAGCTAGAGAACAGGAAGGGGCGAGAAGGAGGAGGAGCTCCAAGAGAGAGCACGAGGAGAGCAGAGCGGGAGGAGAGAGCTTGGAGGACTTGGAGCATGAACCAGACCTAAGATTTCCTAAAAAGCAACTATAATGTGGGAAATCTAAATGTTAGGAAACTGAGGGCTTGGAGGTTTAGGAGGGAGTAAATATTGCTCAGCATTGTGTTCTAGATTAACTAAAAACCCAGTCTCTGTGTGGTGATTTGGTTTTACAGCTGCTGAGGATTAACAGCAGCGTTACCAGAAGTTAAACCCATAGTAAATATTAGTAACTCTTTACAACAATTATCTTGGGCACTAACTCATACACTTGTCAAAGATTGTGTATTTTGTGTCATAAACAGCTGGCATTATGCTCACCTCCATGGTAAGGATTTCTTCAGAATTCTTCATTCCATTCTTGCATGCAACTTTTCGAAGTTCCTTTAAGGCCTTTTGGGGTTTGTTAGTCACAATAAGCCACCGAGCTGACTCTGACACCCACCTGCTCAAAACCATGTGGACATAAATTCTCACAGGGCCATTTTCTACATTAAATTTATTCTTGAATAGTTTTATTTTTAATCTAATACCTACCAGTCATTCGGTTATAACAAAAATCTATAATATTATATCATGAGGTACAGTTTTTAGGAAAATAGAACATGATTCAGTTAGGCAGTGTACCTGCACTTCTGGAATACAGAGCTAGAGTCACATTTGTCTGTCTCCCTCATATAGATATATATTTTAATAGAGGTTATATAACTTGAATATGGGGGAACATTTCTTGAGACAATTGCTGATCTTTTGTTAGGCTGTAGAAAAATTTTATTTATCATGTATCCTTCTCTAAATTAAGAACTCCTGAATAAATTTTCCTCAATAATCATATCACCCAGAGTAGTAATGATGCCAAGGATACATTGTCTTCCCAACATGACAAGAGTGACAGACATATTAATTTACAGAGATTGTGATAAGTGCATTTCTTACATCTTGATTCATGGACATGGTCACCTCAAAATTTCAAACCATAGGGTAGGAAAGAAAGTGCATACCTTGTAGGTATAAGGAAGAAAAATAGTGGCACAGACATTACCAGCTGAAGGTGCTGCCAGTTTCGAAATGCAAATGCCAGGCCTGCCATTACTATGTTTCCAGAAGCATAAATACATCCCCACAGTGTTGTCACCAAGGCTTGGAATTTAGGGCTTGTCCATTCTATCACTGAAAAGAAAAAGAAATGAATCTTGACTTCTAACAATGTTGTAAAGAGCAAAAGCTTGTACAATGTTTATCAAAAAGTATGACTTACTGAGATAAAGACTATTTGAGGTTGTTACTGGAGCACAAATCCCTGTGAGGAAGCGAAGTGAGCAGTAGATGAGGAAGGTGGGAGCCCAAGCTGCACAGGTCCCAGTGATGGCCATTAGGAGTAAAGAACATCTGAAGACTAACTTCCTCCCAAACCTGAGGAGAGGAAAAGACAAAGATTCCATCAGGGCCAAATTCAGTTATTAAAAACAAAATATAGGCAGTGCTTTGTCTCATCCTCATGTTTAACTCTTCTCATCACCAAACCCTTTTCTGCCATCTGTCTGTAATCCCCTTTGGAATTTATAAGCTGTTAGTTCTCTGTCAAAACAACACAGATTTTTGAGCCCAAATAGGTATGTATGTTTGTGCTTAGTGATCTCTAGGACCAAAGGCACACATAGAGAAACATAATCTTTAATGACTACATCTTTTTAAAAAGTTAAAGTTAATTAATTAACTAATTAACCAACCAATGAACTAATTAATTAGCTAATTAATTAACTTTAACTTTTTAAAAAGATGTAGTCATTAAAGATT